GTATATATATATATATTATTGAAGGAAGTTAGCGGTTAACACTGCTCAATAAATATAGTATAAATCATCAAAGATACATATACAGTGTTTAATAAGGACATGATGGAACATCGTAGGCTACCCTGTAGCTTTTGAACGAATAAAGTCCTATAAAAGTCATTGTGTAATAAAATGCCTCCGACGCGCTTTTCATGCTATTTTAGGGCAATTAAAATATAGAGCATCGCCCAGTTGGTTCAGATATTCATATCGTAAACAATATGCTAATTAGGTGATGACGTCATTCCTGCCGAACCAAAACGTAAACAAGCACATTGACACTGGACGCGCCAAACACAAAACACGGCTGAAGTTCGCGACGCAATTCCGTCTCTCTGAGACAAGACAATTACCAAAACAAAGAGAATTGCTTAACGCTTAGAGCCTTGCCTTATTACGTGCCTTTGGATGTAAGCATAATCTACAGACCACAAATATCTAAGTTTTCAATAGGCCTGTCAGGAAAAATTTGTTCCGGGGCCAAAATCGGTCCGCCGGACCGATTTTGGCTTTAAAATTACCTGCCAAATGTAGTCCACATAAGCCAAAATCGGTCCGGCATCTATTTAGTAGTTATAACCTGTATTTTTTAGCGTTGTTTTTGTTTTTAACCAAATGATAGATAAATATCTCATCTCATATTATATAATATTTTTTCATTCCCGTTGTGTGTGCAATTGAGTTTACAGCCGCCACAAAAATTAGTATGCTATTTCGCTCTTCGCGCCCAGTAAACTAGCTTAGGTGTGAAAGTTAGAAAAGAACGTTATAGTCGTAAATCGTGTTGGTCCGCTTTCGTTTATTTTTTACATTGTTTTGTTTTGGTTGTGTGCTTGGTTAACGCCACGACGAAATACGTAGACCCCTTATTATTTTCATGTAATCATAGTGACCAGATCTAGCATAATTATGCTTTTTGGCATAATTTAGACCCATTTAGCATCTAGCACATTTGCTGGCATAATTTTAGAAAAATTTAGCATAATTTTCGCATATTTTTGACCTTAGAAGAAAAAAAAAACAAAGAAAAAAACAAAAACAAAAACAAAACTTTAATCTGAATTAAACCAGCCGTCAATAACCGTGAATACCACATAAAAAAATGAATTCGCCCATTGATTGAGTATCCAATAAATCCTATGCTATGCGCACAATGCATGCTGCCTCTCTGTGGTTTTATTTTTACCACACATTAAAATGGTTTTGGCCAGGTACTCACTTCTGTCTGGTCCTGTTCTCAGTGCTGGAGGCGAAATTCGCGTTCGTTTGGTCCGTTAGGTGCTCAGGGAGTAGTGTACTACCAACTACTGAGTTTTAAATTAAGATACTGATAGTCGGACTGATACTCTACTGCTCAGACTGATCGCCCCACCCCATATATAATATATACAACATTTATAAAATACAAAATATATATATAATGTCTATGGAGATTTTTGTATGATTGGAAAGAAATGCAATAAAAGAAAGAAGAAGGAGGGAAAAGAGAGATTTATGCAGTCACCGACCTAGTTATTTCTCGCAATTCATTGGCGTATTCGTTTGTTTGTTTTTTTTTTCTCTTTTTTTGTTTTGTTTTTGTTCTTTTTTTGGGGGTGGGGGGTGGTCCCTTCCTCTTTGGGGTTCCTTCCTCTTTGTGGTTCATCGATTATTGGAAAGAAGAATATGTATGCGATGTTTATACAGACAGGCCTAAGTATTTACTGTAATAAGAATGAGAAAGTTTACCTGACAGTTTTCAAGAGGGAGAAAAACCTTAAAATTTCACTGGAATTTCAAGACAGCTCGAGAATTCAAGAAAGCTAATTTCATGCCATCTGGCGATCAATTTTCAAAATTATGTAGGGGCCTACAATATATACACACATAAATAGGCCTGAGAAGCCTGGAAAGCTCATTTCCCACCCCTCTAGGAATCAACATTTTTTCCAGGGCAAGACCCCTTTTTTATGAAAAAAAAAATTGACACAGCCCAAGCCACCCCCCCCCCCAACAATTGTGAAACCAGGTCCGCCCGTGTCAATAAATTCTATCTTTAAGGTACTTATTGCATTTGTAAGTTTCCATTTTTGCTTGTTCAAAGCTATGAATAAAACAATGCCAACACAAAATCAAATTTTGTTTATTATTCTATTCTTGTGGCAATATATACTGTATAATAAAACTTCATAATAAAACTTTATATGGTTCAAATATCACAATTTCCAAAATATAAATGATAATCTGAGCAAGATAGACATTGTGTTTTAAAGGCCAATGGTGCAAATATAATAGCAGTACAAATCCTGGTGAGTAGAAAAGTAAATCATTGTACTATATTATAGTACAATGTTTTACTTTTCCATAATCTCAAATTATGATAGGCTACTTTAATGCCTACCTGTGTATCACTACAATGCAAACAGTACATGTTTCATATATCAGCTTCAAAAAAAAAACAACAAAAAAAAAACGTTTTTTGTTTTGCTAATTCATTACTGTCTCTTTTTTTTTAAGTGTATCGCTTTTGTCGTTGCTGTCTACTTACCTCCCATACCATCCTTTATTTCAGGAAGGTTTTGAGGGGTAGCTATGTGAGAAAGTATATTTTAAATGTTTTTGAATACAATTGCAATACTGAATAAATCACACTCTGTCTCTTATACGGCCTAAGTATTTACTGTAATAAGAATGAGAAAGTTTACCTGACAGTTTTCAAGAGGGAGAAAAACCTTAAAATTTCACTGGAATTTCAAGACAGCTCGAGAATTCAAGAAAGCTAATTTCATGCCATCTGGCGATCAATTTTCAAAATTATGTAGGGGCCTACAATATATACACACATAAATAGGCCTGAGAAGTCTGGAAAGCTCATTTCCCACCCCTCTAGGAATCAACATTTTTTCCAGGGCAAGACCCCTTTTTTATGAAAAAAAAATTGACACCGCCCAAGCCACCCCCACCCCCAACAAATGTGAAACCAGGTCCGCCCGTGTCAATAAATTCTATCTTTAAGGTACTTATTGCATTTGTAAGTTTCCATTTTTGCTTGTTCAAAGCTATGAATAAAACAATGGCAACACAAAAAGTTAAGCCTACCGGCCTATCACACTAAACGTTTTTGTCAATACTGTGTTCAAATTTTGTTTATTATTCTATTCTTGTGGCAATATATACTGTATAATAAAACTTCATAATAAAACTTTATATGGTTCAAATATCACAATTTCCAAAATATAAATGATAATCTGGGCAAGATAGACATTGTGTTTTAAAGGCCAATGGTGCTAAATATAATAGCAGTACCAATCCCGGTGAGTAGAAAAGTAAAACATTGTACTATATTATAGTACAATGTTTTACTTTTCCATAATCTAATTCATTACTGTCTCTTCTTTTTAAAAGTGTATCGCTTTTGTCGTTGCTGTGTACTTACCTCCCATACCATCCTTTATTTCAGGAAGGTTTTTGAGGGGTAGCTATGTGAGAAAGTATATTTTAAATGTTTTTGTATACAATTGCAATACTGAATAAATCACACTTCATTGGAAATAGCCTACACAGTATGCCACCAAAGCACACAGATCCGGGTTATAACAACAATTAATTAAATTCTCACTGAAGAAAAAATGGTATTGAAAATGTTTTTTTTTTTTTTTTTCCTTTTTTAAAAAAAGTTTTTTCGAAATTGAACATTTGGGGCT